GTAGTCTGATAGAAACTGATGGACGTTTCAGAGGTGCTACTGCCGTTATCATCAAGGCATCCTAATGATAGGGAAAGTACATATCTTTTAAACGATTTATACTAGACTATACTGCGCAACATACAAGAAGATAGTTTTCTTGAATGAAAACAAATTTTCCATTTACAACGAAATCTCATGTTCAGGAAAATTTGCAGATATAGAATAAAGAAATGAGATGTAATGGCAGGACGCATGCGACGCCGGGGCGCCGTTGGCCTGAGAGCATCCAGACCGAACAGGATCCAATGGCGGAATAGAATAAACATGTGGGACAGACGGATGGATGGTGAAAAATCCCGTTTTTATGGGGAGTGGATTTCAACAGCGGTGGGTCATTACTCGGGAGATGGGACGCGGCTCTCGGAGTATTGGAGCAGCATGTGGTTAAGTTGTGTCAGATTCAATCAGTCTCGGTTTAGTTATGGTTAAGTTAGGTTTAGTGTGTGCTCTAAACTAGCATGCTCTGGTGTAATTGCTGAGAAAGCTTCTCGATTCTCTACTCTTAAGCGGAACTGAAGTTAATTTCTCGAAAATACGGTTGATTAATTATTTGGTTGATGCACGTCACTTCATAAATCAAGAGTCGTAGTCAAATTGACATAAATTCTGCTTTGTGTTTCCGTTTCCTGTCTCCTAACGCCGATTAGCATTCGATGACTCCTGAAGTAATCATCATCACTACGAGGTCCGAGCGATAACACTTGACAATAAATATAAAGACATCTCACCCAAAAATCAATCAAGAAGCTATAGAAAGGTCTTCCATTTTCAATTTACCTTGGACTGCGTCAAAAGTGAGGAAAAGCTCGAGAAACTCTCTCAAGGCAGCGAAGTTCTTAAGACACTTTTCATTGCGGAGATTGGACGCCTTCTTAGGTCAGCTTTGATTTGTCTCCTGAGCATCAGCTCTCCTCGGTTATGCTTATTTGACTTCTGGACGGCTGTGAGATTTCGAAAGCGTCTCGCGGTCTTAAAGACAGCAGAGCGGTGCATTTAAGACGCTGACGGAAAATCTTCCAATCTCGTGGCCAGTGCTCAATTTCAGTCACATAGTTCTCGAGACAAGTAACGAAAAGAGATGGACGAGATGTGGATATGGCTGAGACTCGAAGCATCCGCATGGCAGGAGAGTGGAAGTACGTCGTTTATACACACACTGAACCTCGTCGAAGGACAAGTTTAAATTTCGCAACCCGAGTTCGCATGAAACGAGGCATGTGTGAGTGTGTCTTACAAGAAGAAGGTTTGGAAATTTCAATAAAGAAGACATGACGAAATTAATTTCAGTATGAGGGGCGTGAAGTTCAGAAGCGTTAGCCTGTAAGGGTGACCTTCAACCCGTACGAAGTACCCACAACCACTAGACATCAAAATAAATATTACTTTTGATTAAATATATACCAATTAGTATTATATGAGGTGCGATCGGAAAGTTTCAAGACTGCGCGTATAAAAAAAACCCGTACACTTATCTCAGGTATTAAATTTATCCATCACCCTCGAAGTAGTTCCCCTGGGAGTGAACACAACGATCCCAGCGCCGCTGCCAAGCCTGGAAGCATCCCTGGAAATCTTTCTTTGTCAGCCTGTCAAGCACCATCTGCGATTCTGCCTGAATCTCTTCTATCGTCTCAAATCTCCTTCCCTTTAGCTGAATTTTCATCTTTGGGAAGAGGAAGAAGTCACACGGCGAATAAGGAGGGTGCGAGGGTACCTGAGAGAAGTGTACGGGTTTTTATACGCGCAGTCTTGAAACTTTCCGATCGCACCTCGTATCTGCTAAGTGTCTAAATCATAAAAATTGGTTCAAAGTATTTATAAGAATATTTTCGTTTCTTCTCACCATAACTTCCTTAGTTATTGCCAGTAAAACTAAAAGGTTCCAAATTCTTACCTTTGGATACGTAAACGTAAATGGTATCAGCCTCTGTATTGGACGCTCGGCAAGTGTAGTTGCCAGAATCGCCGTGTGTGGCGCGGTTGATTATGAGGCGACTGTGGGTCTTAGGACCAGGCTCGGTGCTGACTGTGACGCCGCCTCGAGATGTGTCGTAGTTGATCATTCGCTCGTTGTGGTACCAGAACACGTACTGAGGCGGGGACGGGCTCTGAAACAGGTACACAGACGCATTCTGGCAAAACAAGAAACATTAGACGTCGATATCACAGGTCGAATTTGAACTAAGAAAGAAAGAGAAAGTGGCAGGATCACGAAGTAGATGAAGAGGACATTAATTAGTCGCCCTCATTAGCTACTACGACAGGACTTTCGAGCGTGCACTCACGTGGATGAGTAGGAAGGACGCTCATCCCATTCGCCTTACACTCTGGAAAGATGTCTTTTGCATTTCTTGCCGGAGAACTCGTCATCTTTATTTTGAGATTTATCCAGTGACTCTCGGAGGTCGGTCTGATAAGAAGAGGATGTTACTACAGCTGTTTTCCACCTCCATCTCTGCCGCTGGTTGATGGCAAAGCAAACCCTTTGGAGAGCGGAGGTCGAATGGAGAACATCTCGAAGTACATGCTGAAAGTGTCCCTGCTCTGGAGACTCAACATTTGCAGATCTATCTGATTATTTTCTTGTGAGAGCCTTCGGTTCTCATTATAACTGTTTTGTAGAATGGGACAAAATGAACTTCTCCAACAAGCAAAGGGTTGAATGGAATTATACGGCACGTCTTGAATGCATTAATGGTTGTAACACACAGATAAACTTTCTTATAACTTTTACTTATATAAAAGGTTGTAACAACTTAAAAAGGATAGTTCTCAAACCATAGTTCGGTCTCCTAAGAGTAGAACTTTTTAAAAGGACAGATAAAAACTACATCTAGTGGTTGCAACTTATGGGTAAAATGTGGGGGTAGACTCCAACTTCTCTTTCCCGTACAATCTCTAGGCTTCTCGTGTCTCAAAGGTGGTCGTCTGGATTTGGTTTGATCACCTTGTTTGTTTGTATTCATTGATGGATGACGTGCTTCAACTATTACAGGAGAGACGCCATTAAACAGTTTTGGTTTCAACCTGGCCCTGGGAGAAACACTTTCAATGTCACTTTGCGAATGTTCTAAGAATTACATAAACCATTTTCTAAATAAAAGAATAAAATGGAATTGTTACATAAAGACCACGTTAAGAGAAAAAACCGCATGAATAAAAATACTATAATAAGTAGATATGCGGGTTGTATTTTTCTTATATCATATGAACGCGAGAAGGACGTGTTATAAGCGTGCCGTAACGTAAACAAGTGACGTGAATCATACCCAGATCGTTTCCTCACTCATAGAAAACAGCGCAGAGTTTCTGGATGAGAATAGGCAACCCCCTCTTTCTTTTGGTGTCGTATGAAGTATACGCGGGTTCTAAAGAGGACGTGTGATGCAACACAGAGACAGTGGCTTAAGAAATGTGAAGATTATAGCCTGAAAAGAAGTGAGGATCCATGTTCTAATTTGAGGGATGTCCTCCGCGTGGGAGGCACAGTCATTCATTTGGATACCATGTTTCTGTGTGTGTGTTTATCAAACATTGATCGAGGGTTTGAGGACAGTGCCCTGAGAACACTGGAACCTAAGAAAATGGAGAAAACTACGCACATAGAGCTTCTTCGTCTTATATTAACAGTTTCATTATATTAAGAATGGTCGACAGGCCAGTACGAATGGGGAAAAAGAAACAGTTACTACATTTCAATCTGAAACCCAAAGGCAAAAGTGTCCTTTTGTGACATTGCCGAAGATGAAATCATAATATCAAAACTGATATAAAAATAAACACTTTGGTTTGAAGGGAGATGCGACAGGTTTCTGTGAACTTTGCATTAAAAAGTGGGGTTCCGTAAAAGAAACCCGGAGAATTTTATTGCCGGGATCGACTGTATAAATATTTTTTTTAAGAAATGCCTTGCACCACGATTAGGCCTATATTCATTAAATTACCTGTATTCGAAAACCTCTGGACGTGTTCACCAGAAAGAACATTCGCTGGTCACGATTCACGAACAGTTTGCGACCTTTGGAACAAGTTCTTCGAAGCTTTGAGTGACGGTTTGCAGCGAAATGAAAGTAAATACGAAATAAATAAAATGTGAACTGAGTTTGGAGCAACAACAAAAATATTTATCCTTATACTTGGCAAGAGAATTAATTTGCAGAAATTATTTATTTTCCCGTAAACACCTAAATCCGTCGTTACAGCCAAACGTGTTTGCGTGTGACAACGTGAGGTTTACAGGTACACCTCTCTTGAAAGGCACCTCGTAAAAGCCTATGTCATGGCCAATACAGTCATAATATCATTTTCACAAGCAATTAAATTGATTGTCTCCAATTATAAACCACGGCGTAACACCATGTTACATCGTAAGCCCCTGTTACATTTTCTACATATTTATATGCATTTCAAGCCTCCTCTTAAAGTAACTTTTGAGACAAAATAATTTCTGTAAACTTCTGTAGATGAGTCTAGGTTCGAACTCAAGGGTCTATAGTTGCAAGGAATGTGGTCCAGAAGATACGCTCCATGCATTTATTTCGATCAGACTGCAACAGAGCCTGTGATAATCGATTTTTAAAGATTAAATCTTCATACAGAGTATAAAAGCCAGCTTCAACCTGGAAGACTTCTATTCACAAGTGACTTCGTTATATCAACTTTGAGATTTCATTTTAGTCTTTTCAACAGCGGAGACGTAATGATTCAGCATTTGTGTTGACCACGGACTGAGTTTGTCTGACAACACCGCTCGCTGGTTATAACTAACAAACACGTGTTTTCTCTGATCCTTACTTTTTAAACAGGCGGTGTGTTTTAAAAAGCAAGTTGTTCTGCAAATAATAAAAAAGTATCCTAAAAAGCCTTGCATGAAAGCGTCTACTACTAGAAGCACTGTTAATGGCTTTGAATATCAGGCATTTAGCCTCTGAATTGGCTGGAGTCCCAAACAGTGCTGACACAGCGGACAGGCTTGCGTCACGTAAATCATCATCCAGAAAAATTCCACCCAACGCAGTGTTATCCGTTAAAAATTCTCAAAATCTATCAACCTAGCACTAGAATCCCTTGCAATGTCGAGTGCAGACCATAAAATGACTCAGAAATACCAACACGAGGGTCGTGTATTTCAGCACGTTTAAATAAGAGATAAAATTCTGTTTATTTTTGTTGAGCAATTCTTTAGAAACTAACCCTTGTCCCGAAAATGAAAAAAAAAATTATGTTTGCGGTTGACGAAGATATAAAGAAAGTTTCACAAGGGTGCCAAGAAAACTTTTCTGCCTCAATGAAGTTTCAACAAGAAAATAAAAGGTAGCAACACAGACGAAGGATGTGCTACAGAAAACGGGAAGGTAGCACGTCCCCTCCTCAAAAAAAGAATTAATGGATAATTTATAATTGTAGTTGTATTAAAGTACAGAAGTGGCGTTATTAATTTTCAGAACGTACATTATATGAGAAAACAATATAAAATAAGCCGGGAGTAATGTAAGAATGAATACAGCTATAGTCAGAATTCCAGTTATTCGTAATTCCCTTGTGTTTGCTCTGTGTGGCTTCATTCTACCTTGCATTAATCACAATTATTCGTGCCACACATCGTTTAGAAAAAAAAACCCACCAGAATCTGTCTAATCTGAAGGAACTTTTCCAAGTTTATCTTCATTACGAAGATGAAGACTTTGCTTTGTTTGGAGATCCATATTCATTGGTAGACAAACGGTAAGAGCTTAAGACTACCTTCGACGGAAGGGTCAGACACGCGAGTTCAAGTCACGACATCGGCCCACTTCAATGCTTATGCTGCAGTGGCAGAAGATCAGCCTAAAATATGCAGCAGCATAACTTTTCAATTAATGTTCAAACATTTTCTGTGTAGAACTCATACCAACAGCAACTGTAAATAGACACGTAAAGGTGCAGGTTGTGATATTAGAAGGAAAAATATGTAATTGGCGAGGAAAGCAGAACATTTCTTTCGATGTCCGACGGCATTCTGATTTAAGGGGTCTGTGTTCGAATTTCGCTGCAGGCAAACAAATCTGTGTGGAAAAACATGTTTTACAAGCGTTTCTCAAACAATACTAATTTAAAAAAATATATAACAAAGACGCCAGGACTTTTAAAAACAGCGGTTTCAATGCCTAACATATTAAATCAAGATACGATGCAATAAGATTATTCACAGGAAGTAAAAAATACTAATGAAATTTCTAATACTAAGCATTATATATTGTTGCACTGTACAGTAAAACTATCCTAAGATCCGGTCACAGAACTCGGCTTATCCTTAGTAACAAGGCAACTCCCTTACAGTTCAAGGATGGGAGAGATATTTCCTAAGCTGAGGGAAAAATAAACAGTGATCTTATCCCATCCAGCGGTTCCAGATACTGATATCTTGGCCGAGGAAACTGCCTTACTCAGCAACATTCTCAGAATTAGCATCTAGGTTCGTGAAATTCGTTAGCATTTGCATCTAATAGCTGAAGGCTTTCGGGCTGGAGTGTGGTGAGAGGCAGACACAAAATTCTAACAGGTAGCAAAGAAATTTAACACTGGGCGATGTACATCAATGAAAACAGAATAACATTCGTCTGCAGTTTACTCGAGTGTTCATTTGCTTCCTTCAGACTGAGAACGCCATTCGTCTCAGGCACAAAGGCGCCGGCTGATATCCTGTAGTCTGTTAGCGTGCAAGACCCACCCCGCACCCCCCCCCCCCAAACCCTTAGAACCCAAACGAGAAATCGATTTGCATCAACCACCAAAAGCCCTTTATCCTGGAGTCTTACTTCGCGTACAGCCGTCTCTTCACAATACACCAATACAAAAGACATACAATTTCTAAAGCAAAGAAATCGCCAATCCTCAGCGGAGTGCATTTATTAGGAAGGCAGTAACAGAAACGGAAACCGGCATAGCTTCCGGAGCGAAGTTCCTGTTCCTCCGTCCATGACACTGACAAAAAAGTGTGGGTGGTTCGAAGTTTCCTCTCGCGCCTAAGGATCTGACATTCTGCCAAAGGCTTACGCCGTCGATCTAACCGCAATGACGCCGGCAAACAAGAGTGAGACACTTATCTCTCTTTTTTTTAGGACACACA